CTATCTATCTATCTATCTATCTATCTATCTATCTATATATATACTGTATATATATATACATATATATATAAATCAGTCTTCAGGTATTTTACTACACTTCAGTATGTGATTCTTATTAAGTAGAGGTCATTTTTTAGGATTCTATAGTTCTCCTAAGTCTCTGAGAACCTGACATACTTCTGGAGACTCCAGGTAGGTTGCAGTTCGGGAATCTGGAAAATGGTGGCGCTGGAGACTAAATGGCTCCTGGTGATTTCACACCTAATTCTTCCACCTTAATTCACACACAAGATTATTCTTACCCAGTCCTTTGCTTTCTGCCTGTGTTGCTTTAATTTCATTTTGGGCTTATATAGTCATAACCCCTTCCTGAACAGACCATATATAGAGTTTTGTCTAGTCTCTGTTGTCTAGAAATGAAACTTTGTGATATGTAGAAATGTTGGAATCAAACCCTGCTTTAAAAATAACACGTCCCATTTATGTTTCTCTTTCTTGAGAAATGAAACTTAACTCACTTTCTGAGCAGAACAGAAATGTGCCCTGCTTATATGAAAGCCCAGAAAGTGCAGTTTTTTTTTTCTATTGTTCAATCATGACCTCTAAGTACAGTTAGATCATTACTTCATAGAATGTTAGACGGATGCTTATTAAACTTTACAATAAGTAGAGCAACTGTATGAGATCTGCCTGTGTGATCAGATGTCCTCTAAAAAAATCTAGCAGTGAGAACCAGTTAAACAAAATAAGGCTGTCAAGGTATACTGTATGTCTTTTCATGTGCTTGTATGGGAGTGGTAACAGATAAGAAAATGTTTAACTGCACTGGAGTTAGTTTAAATTTATGTCAGCACTTTCATTGCTTTCAAAGACAAAAAAAACTACATTGTAACTCTGGGTTTCTCTTTTATATAAGTACATACATAAATATCAACAGTCATCAGGTATAAACAAAGCAACTGCATTGTATAGCTTATAGATATCAAACCAGTGGTAAGAATGGCATGCTAAGGGTTCCTCAATTCAACCAAGACAGGAATAAAAATATTCTTTCTAAGCTTTGATTTAAAAGCAGCAGTGCATTTGACTACAGTTTTTGAATCTGTAAATCAACTAAATTTACCACTTAGGATTTCATTTATTTTATTAACTACTTAGGATACATTAATTGAGGCATTTTTTTTAAGGATATCATACAATATCACAATTTGTCATCCATGTTTTAATTGAAACTGTAAACCTCTTAAACCTCTTTCGCAGCACTTTATTTGCCAAAAACGGAAAGGAACTGTTGAAATGTCATTTGATTACATTTTAAAAGATTGGTTACACTGTTAAAGATGTAAGCACTCATTTGATTACTACGGTTTTTGACCAAAACTAAATAACCAACCAACCAAACAAACAAAATTAGAACCCAGAATATATATATATATATATATATATATATATATATATATATATATACACACACACACACTAGTATTCTGACTTTGAGACCCCTCTGTACATCCTACATAACTCCCACCAACAAAAATACCTGTTGTCTTAGTAGCTCATTGTCCACTTGTATTCTCTCCACCTCCTTGTAGCTCTCCTGCAGCCTCTGGTTAGTCTGTCGGAGTTCTCTAATGTAGTCGCATGCTTTAGACAGGATTCCTCCTTTACTCTAGAGAGGAGGACAAGCAGTTCATTAACATTAGCAGGTGTAAAGAGGTACAACAGGTCCAAAAACAGAAGATCTGATGCCATGTAAGTTACTTACTGCTCCTGTTTTAGTACTGTCCATATTGCAGTCTGGGATAATTTTAGACAGCGTGACAATCCAGTTGTTGATTTTGTCTCTTCTTCTCCTTTCCACTGCAAAAACACCAATAAAACCATTTAGCAACGGTCCAATTTGAGCTACTTCTGTTCTATACACTGAATTACTCAAAGTTGATATGAAATCCAAATTGACCCCATTTTCTCTTCCTAATGCATGCTCCTGGTTTGTGAATGAGTTATCCGTGTATGTTACTTTCAATTTTAAAAACCTGTCTTTACAATGTTTTATTAAAGTGTAATAACTTCCACCACTGTAACCATTTCTTTTGTAACTTTACATTACAATTCAATCAATTTCTGATGGACAATGTTCCAGTTCTACATTTTTCTAGTTTAGTTTCATTTTGACTGAAATGCAATAAAAAAAAAAAGTCATTACTTCTTACATCAGTTAAATTAGTGACATTGATCATATAACCGTTTTGTACAGATGTTCTTGCTTTCACTGAAACTGTACATATTCTGAGCTCTAAAAAGACATGTATTAGTTCACCTTCATTGTGCTGTGCTCTCCTTCTCTCATCACGGGGCGCCCGGGGGCCATCAATCTTCCTGCGCAAGTAAGAGAGAAAAGAAAAAGAGGAGACTTGTGTTAGCTTGTTCTACTGCACCATTAAAACACCAAACGAATCTGCACGACACAACACAGCTGAAGCCTATTTGAAAACAAACATTTGTTCAGCCCATTTACTGATATAACAACAGTTCATTATTGAGTCACAAATTTTAGTCAGGTCAATTCGATTGTACCCAAAGATTTGCTTAAATCTGGACAAATAGGTTAGCCTAAAAGAAACATGTAACCCTTTGATTTTTCCTCATTTCGGTTTTTAGAGGCTAGAATTAATTCAAGTGATGTCTTCCGAACATGAAGAAAACTCAAACACCAGCAAACACATCTAAGGTATTCATACAGTACTGAATTAAAGGAATAGTTCACCCAAAAATTACAATTTGCTGAAAATGTTTTCACCCTCAAGCCATCAAAGATGTAGATGAGTTTGTTTCTTTATTGGAACTGATTTGAAGAAATTCAGCATTACATCACTTGCTCACCAATGGATCCTCTGCAGTGAATGGGTGCCGTCAGAATGAGAGTCCAAACATCTTAAAAAACATCACAATAATCCACAAGACATTAACTGATGGACTGCAGTTGTGTGGATTACCGAGATGTTTTTATCAGCTGTTGGAACTGTTTTGTTGAAGAAACAAACTCATCTACATCTTGGATGGCCTGAGGGTGAGTACATTTTCAGCAAATTTCCATTTTTGGGTGAACAATTCCTTTAAAAAGCCAGTTGCTCAATAGCGGCAGTATCTAGAGAAATACAGGCTGGCAGCTGAAAGGGGGTGGGGATGTAAAAGGTCTTCCTCACCAGTCTGATCTGCTGTATTGAAGAGTCTCACGTTCACCAAGGTCTCTGGGGATGGCAGGCAAGTGGGAACAATTTTTTCGGTTGTTTTTCTGACTGCACTTGATTGGACAATACTTTGAATATTTATATGTGAATTCATTGCATTTTTTAATTAATGCTACACTCTCAATTTAAGGCGTTTTGCAGGAAAATTAATCCGAATTTGATTTGAAATTCCATTCTTGTTGTTCTGCAAACTGAAATTAATTTGGGGGAACGTGAAGGGATCAAATCATTATGTACATAGCACTGGGATCAAAGGGTGGACTGGGCTGTGCAGACTGGGAAAAGTAAGGGATGTTGACCCATAATCATACTTACGTAGAGTATGTGTGTGTACGAGGGGCGATGGTCCGTGGTGTTCCAGTCTGTAAAACATCTGGTGGACTCATCATCACGTAAAACTGACCTAGGGTTAACAAAAAAGGAAATGTTTGAATGAACTTGCACCTGCAGCATCTGTTGTCATAAATGAACATTTTGTCATCATTTACTCAGCCTCATGTCGTTCCAAACCTGTTTAAGTTTATAAGTAGACACTCGCATCATGGTACTGTCTTGAACGCGCGTCCACAAGTGAAGCAGTAGAGACGAAAATGTGGAACAAAGTCATTATTTTTGTTTTCTTTGCGCAAAAAAGTATTCTCGTAGCTTCGTAACTTTACAGTTGAACCACTGATGTCACACGGATTACTTTGTCGATCATTTTGGTACTTTTCTGGACCTTGAACGTGGTAGTTACCTTGCTGTCTATGGGAGGGTCAGAGAGCCCTCAGATTTCATCAAAAATATCTTAAATTGTGTTCCAAAGATGAACGAAGGTCTTGTGGGTTTGGATGAGTAATTAATGGCAGAATTTTCATTTTTGGGTGAACTAACCCTTTAATCTGTGTTCTGTCGGATTATAGAATGTGTTATACGTTACAGAAAAGCACCCTTACGGCAGATTTAAGTGCATCCAGCCACAGTGAGTGTTTTACGGTGGGTAGGATGACATTGCAAATTCTGAATCATTTCTGACCAAAGAAATTATTTTAAAAATATGTTCTCATCTCCTGCAGCCATAGGATACGTGGTACAATTGTAAAAACTATGCACGTTTCCCACTGACATTTTGGAGTACTCTAGGATCTAATGCTAAATTTACCATCACAATTCTTCTAAATGCAGCTTACTTGCATCGCTGGTTTATTGATTTGCACGTAAACCAGCAAAACATGTAAAGCTGTAAAACATGCTCAGTATCAATGGCAAACAATGTTTTTGGATTTTAGCATGTGAGACTGACCTCCAGCCTGTGTGAGGGTCGGATCAGACGTGGCCTGCACTGAGACAGCTGTACCGTCACTGACAGTTGCTGCTGGGAAGTAGGCGAAGCGTGTCTCCCCCCCCACTGTTTCCCCCACTGGACTGCCTCCATTACTGAATGGGTTCTGGATGACAGCCTATCGAGAGACAGATACAGAAATATGAGAGACAAGCATGCAAAGCTGACACTGCATTCATTGTTTTGCTTTTCTCCATGCTTCAGTCCAGTCTGCTCCATACACACCTGTGCTACCGCTTGCTGTGCGCCCGCAAAGGCAGCTGTGGACACTACACTGACTGCCGCTCCTCCATCTCCTGCTGCGTCCAAATGGTCCTCTGTTACCTGGACCACGCGATACGTCACCTGTATCAGGACAGAACACAAAGGTGAACTTTGTAAGAATGTTTTGTATCTTTAAGTTGCATAATCTAATTATGTGGATTTAAATAACACAAATGCATTAAAGCAAAAATAATTTCCCATTTGAAACTTACTTTCATAGTTTGACGTTTCTGAATCAAATAGAATTTTCAACAGTAAATAAAAAAGCAGGATTGGACTTGATTTTATCTATCAGAAATCAAATTATAATAAACAGTGGACATTACATACTAGAATATAAGTCTGCTAAAATAATGCCTATATAGCTATTTGGCTGGTGCTTAGTGAAAGCGAGTTTAGAGAGTTTTTTTTTTTTTTTTAAAGAATATGAATAAACCAATTTTTTTCTTTTGGAATAATATGAATCGTTCACAATAACACCAGGACTTTACATTATGAAAGTAAATTCAGGCAATTTTAATTTCTTGTTGACTTTAAAGTTATAATAGAGCTATAAACTGCTGTTGGTTTATACAGCAGTGTTGTTATTGTTAACTAAACAAAAATGATTAAAAATAGATTTTGTTAACTGACACAGAGTACAATGAAAATGAAAATTAAATATTAGATGAAAAGCCTAAATAGAAAAAGCTTAAATGAAAATTAGAAATTTCCTTGCCAAATAACTGAAATAAAATTAATTGAAGTACTAAAATCGCTAAATCTAAAACAGACAGAAATGAAGGCTAAATAGAACTAATAAAAATAACAAAAGCATGTAAAATGACTCAAACTTAAACTAAACACAAAACTGAAAAAATATAAAAGCTAATTTGAAATATAAACATTTTTAAATATTAAAAATAATACAGAATGTGTCAATTTTTGGTTAAACTTTATTTTAAGGTGTCCTTGTTACAGTGTAATTATACATTTAAGTACTGAGGAATATTAATTAACTGCATGTTCTTACTATCTGGTTAGGATTTGGTTTAGGGTTACTTGCATGTAATTATGCATAATTTATTGTTATTATAATAGTAAGTACACGTAACATGTGTAACAAGGACACCTTAAAATAAAGTGTTACCCAATTTTTATTTAATAGTAATAAATAATACTAAATTCAATAGTATAATAATAATAATATATAATACTAAAATGGCATTATACAGACATAAAAGCATCTAGCATTCTCATAAGAGCCTTGACAGAGAAACTCATGACTCCAGGCCATGTTTTATTACAGAGTGACCCCAGTTTGAACCCTGGAAAGGTCAAAGGTCGCACTGACCTGTCCACCAGTGTTCTCTGTCCGGAACTGATATTGAACATTGTGGTCCCCAAAAGCTGCTGCTTGCTGGACACTTGCTATGGTAACCGCTGCCTGCTCCTCCACCCCCACCACCTCTCCTGAGACATGCACCACAAACGAACAGCGGTATTTTGATATATGCATCATTCACGGCATGCACACATCATTCTGAGCTACATGTTTTTACTTACCCTCCTGCAGCTGAACAACCTCCTCAGTTTCCTGTTTGTCGTGACTGCACAGAGAAAGAGCATGTTCTGGGTCATCTTATGAAACTACTCAAAGGAAGCTCTAGAGATATAGATCAAAATCATATAGGCTTTTGGCGGATTCTAGTGATGGAAATTTGGCAGTCATTTCAAAATGGTTCATTCAAAACACTGGTCCAAAAATAATAATGTTGTTTACAATAATTGTGTTTATGTCATTTTGTGTTTCAGTCCTTTAGTCCCTGGATATAATTTGCATTTATAATAATAATAAAAAAAACTGTATAAATGTATTTTGCGTGTTTTAAATTTAGATATGCTTATTTTAATGTGACGATTTTTTTGTCATACTGCTATTGAACTCCCTTTTTATTCTTACTCAAGAACAGCTCAGACAGATTTCTGAAAGAATCGCGAATCGATTCATTGAAACGATCCGACTCAAAGAACGATTCGGACATAACTACTACATTCAGTATTGATGCAATTAATTAAAGAGGCGTTTGAACTATTTGGAAATCAATTAAAAACTCAAAATGGCTTGAGAAAGATGCTCTAGATATAAATCTGACATAGACCATCAAGATCTGTCTCCTTAACTTGGCCAACAAACGGTGAACGCCCCCCTTCTCATCACTAAAAACTGTTCACCGCTTTTATAGTGGTCTGCAAAATTCAAAAATACTAATAGCAACGTTTCATGTAGATAAAATATATAGCCAAATAAACAACACTGGGGTTAAATAAATAAAGATCTAATCATATAAAGCCTCTGGATGAAAAGACTGGGAGTTGTTTGCAGGTTGAAGGGAATTTAATGCTTAAAACCGATGAAGGGCTTTTGTTTCGACAGTACTAAACACGACATTTCTACTTGAAATATTAGTTAAACGTCTTTTATATTTCAGAAAATATTAATATAGAAGACTGTTGTTAAAATGAAACGTACACCGGCTTGGAGTTGTCGTTTTATTTTCAAATAGCGTACCAAGGGTAGACAAAACTCACCAAATTAGCAATCGGGCTAATAGTGATATAAATATGTCGACCATCGATGTTAAAACGCCTGCGATCTGTTGTTTTCTTCGTGCTATTCGTATCTTACGTGTAACTTACTATATTAATGGCATGCACAAAACTTAATAAAAGTCAGAAAATAAACTTAAAAGATGATTGCTAACTGCTCTACTATAAAAAAAAACAGAGCAGAAAATGGTTGACTGGGGCCTCGAGGACGGCCGTGCATTAAGGACGCGCTCTCACCTCGTCGAGGTGTCCAAGCGCTGATCGAGCATATCCATGAAGGCGAGCGGATTTAAAAATGCGATATTCAGCGACACTTGAAATACTGGAGATGGAAGCGCTGATCACGGGGACAAACACACGGGTCATGTGAGAAAGACAGTCCAGGACACGTGAGGTGCAGGCTGGGCGAGGAGTTAAAATGGAGACCGCTGTGGAGGAAGACGGAAGGTGTACCGGTTGTTGTTGCGTATGTTACTCACTCCCGCCCTACTGTCTAGACGAGTGCTCGACCTGTTGAGTCGCTTAGTGGCTTCTTTTCAAACTTATAGCGCCTACGTTAACACTGGATTTATTTATCGGTTTATTTTGAAGCGTTTGGTACTTTAAAACCGCGTTTTCGCCTTATTTCAGAACCGCGCTGTATTGCTTTGATATCGATCTTCACGTATCCCTCCGCAAGCGTTGCACATATTAGCGCTGCCGTTAATAAGATATGGAGTGGAGTGCCTATTTTAAACAAAGTGCGGTTTAGGTTGAAATCAAGGAACAATAAAATATTTTAGGTAACTTACACACAAATATAAGAACACGCTAATGGTTGTGTACGTATTCTGAAACGGCTCGTATTTCGCATGTAACGATAACTTAAAGGGTAGAAACGGAACAAACAGGGAGTGTACATTATTGCGATAGACTTTCAACGCTTAAACTGGAAAGTGAAGTTCAAATGAGATCTAACTAACGTTAGCCTATTGCTATTACAACCTTACGAGTTTCATTATGAATGACGGTTTGAAATGGCATTTAATAAAGGAGTGAACTTATAACGTACCTTGATTTAGAATCTGTCCGTGTGTAATTCAAAACATATAACGTGCGCAAAATATACGATTTTTCCTTGATCGCATCAGCACAGGGAATCACGAATGTTGACGAGCGGTGATTTTCCTCAGGTGACCTCCGAGATCCAATCCGGGTATTTGATCAAACCACATGACACGAAGGCAAGGTGGTGGATAGGAAATATATAGCTGTGTCTCATTTAGAAGGCTGCACCCTCCGGAGGACGCATCCTTCTAAATGAGACACAGCTTATATAGACGTTTGTTAATCTCTAATGTGAATAAACTGGCTAACATTTATACAAACGATCAGAATTATTTACTCGATGTACACGTGTAACATGTTTTCATAAATAAACATATAAGATTTATTTGGTAGTAAAAGCGTTGTTTTGCCAATAGTACTCGGCTACTCTATGTTCCTGAAGTCGCACTGCTGTTGCCACGAGGCTGTGCTGTATGGCAAATTTAGCAAATGGGTTTTTTTGTTTTTTTTTTAGCCTTGTCGTTATAATTACGCAGTATATTTTATGTACATAGTTTGAGAAGTTAACGTAATTAATACAATAATATCACATGATCAGCTAAAGCCAAAGACATTTAACAGCATGGAAAGGATTTGCTCACACACCTTAAGGGTTCCTTTTTTTATAAAAAATTATGTGAAAAATGTTGTGGTTGCCGGTTACTTAATACTTAAAATCTGATGTTTATGCGAGAAAAGAAACGTTAAAAATCCAAGTATAGTTTTGGACATGTTTGGCAAAACCACCATAAAATATACTTTCATTGTCACTAGCACTGTCCCCTACATTACAACATTTTTTTATAACAATTTTCATTCAGCATTCATTGAAACACCCAAAATAAAAGATTAAAGGTTTTGTTTAACCTGACATTTGTAGTAGGCCTACAAAATAAAAGTTTGTCCAAGTGCTTTTGGAGAGTAAGCTACTAAAATTGTCCTGTTGACCATGCAGATATTCAGTGTCTCTATTGTTAACATGTATTTTAATTCAGTTAATATATCCAGTAGCAAGTATATATATAATATAGTGCCTTAATTTTTTTTCACATTTTATGTTGCTACCCTATGTTAAACTGCTTTAAATTACTTTTTTTTCCATATCAATCTACACTCCATACACCATCTTTGCACATTTATTAATGTAAGAGGTTTGAAACAACCAGGACTCTTCCTAGAGCTGCCCTCATGGCCAAACTGAGCAATTGATGGAGAAGGGCCTTGTCTAGACTGGTGACCAAGAACCTGATGGTCACTCTAGCTGAGCTCCATGATCATATGTGGAGATAGGAGAAATCTACAGAAGGACAAACATCGCTGCAACACTCCACCGATCTGGGCTTTATGACGGTGTGGCAAGACTCAATCCTCTCTTCAGAGAAGACACATGAAAACGCACTTGGAATTTGCAAAAAAAAAAGCACTTAAAGGACCCTTTATATTATTATTACTAAACAATATTCTCTGGTCTGATGAACCTCAATTCCAAGCATCATGTCTGAAGGAAACCAGCTCTGCTCATCACCTGCAGAGTACCATCCCAAAAGTAAAGTGTGCTGGTAGCAGCCTCATGCTGTGGGGCTGTTTTTATGTGGCAGGGACTGAGGGACACATCAGAGTAGAAGAAAAGCTCAATGCACCAAAATATTGAGATAGCCTTAATAAAAACCCAGTCCAGAGCATTCAGAACCTCAGACTTGGCAGAAGGTTCGCCTTCCAACAGGGCAATGAACCTAAACACACAGCAAGAGTGGCTTATAGACAACTATGTGAATGTCCAAGGTGGTGGATAGGAAATATATAGCTGTGTCTCATTTAGAAGGCTGCACCCTCCGGAGGACGCATCCTTCTAAATGAGACACAGCTTATATAGACGTTTGTTAATCTCTAATGTGAATAAACTGGCTAACATTTATACAAACGATCAGAATTATTTACTCGATGTACACGTGTAACATGTTTTCATAAATAAACATATAAGATTTATTTGGTAGTAAAAGCGTTGTTTTGCCAATAGTACTCGGCTACTCTATGTTCCTGAAGTCGCACTGCTGTTGCCACGAGGCTGTGCTGTATGGCAAATTTAGCAAATGGGTTTTTTTGTTTTTTTTTTAGCCTTGTCGTTATAATTACGCAGTATATTTTATGTACATAGTTTGAGAAGTTAACGTAATTAATACAATAATATCACATGATCAGCTAAAGCCAAAGACATTTAACAGCATGGAAAGGATTTGCTCACACACCTTAAGGGTTCCTTTTTTTATAAAAAATTATGTGAAAAATGTTGTGGTTGCCGGTTACTTAATACTTAAAATCTGATGTTTATGCGAGAAAAGAAACGTTAAAAATCCAAGTATAGTTTTGGACATGTTTGGCAAAACCACCATAAAATATACTTTCATTGTCACTAGCACTGTCCCCTACATTACAACATTTTTTTATAACAATTTTCATTCAGCATTCATTGAAACACCCAAAATAAAAGATTAAAGGTTTTGTTTAACCTGACATTTGTAGTAGGCCTACAAAATAAAAGTTTGTCCAAGTGCTTTTGGAGAGTAAGCTACTAAAATTGTCCTGTTGACCATGCAGATATTCAGTGTCTCTATTGTTAACATGTATTTTAATTCAGTTAATATATCCAGTAGCAAGTATATATATAATATAGTGCCTTAATTTTTTTTCACATTTTATGTTGCTTTAAACTGCTAAACTGCTTTAAATTACTTTTTTTTCCATATCAATCTACACTCCATACACCATCTTTGCACATTTATTAAGTTTGAAACATTGAAACAACCAGGACTCTTCCTAGAGCTGCCCTCATGGCCAAACTGAGCAATTGATGGAGAAGGGCCTTGTCTAGACTGGTGACCAAGAACCTGATGGTCACTCTAGCTGAGCTCCATGATCATATGTGGAGATAGGAGAAATCTACAGAAGGACAAACATCGCTGCAACACTCCACCGATCTGGGCTTTATGACGGTGTGGCAAGACTCAATCCTCTCTTCAGAGAAGACACATGAAAACGCACTTGGAATTTGCAAAAAAAAAAGCACTTAAAGGACCCTTTATATTATTATTACTAAACAATATTCTCTGGTCTGATGAACCTCAATTCCAAGCATCATGTCTGAAGGAAACCAGCTCTGCTCATCACCTGCAGAGTACCATCCCAAAAGTAAAGTGTGCTGGTAGCAGCCTCATGCTGTGGGGCTGTTTTTATGTGGCAGGGACTGAGGGACACATCAGAGTAGAAGAAAAGCTCAATGCACCAAAATATTGAGATAGCCTTAATAAAAACCCAGTCCAGAGCATTCAGAACCTCAGACTTGGCAGAAGGTTCGCCTTCCAACAGGGCAATGAACCTAAACACACAGCAAGAGTGGCTTATAGACAACTATGTGAATGTCCTTGAGTGGCCCAGCCCCATCCTGGGCTTGAAACCAATCAAATATTTTTGGAGAATGTGCATCTGCCCCCATCCAACCTGACAGAGCTTTAGAGGTGAGGAGAAGAATGGCAGATGATTGGCAAATTCTGATGAGCAAAGCTTGTTGAATCAAATAAAAAAGGCTTGAGACTGTAAAGGTGCTTCAGCTAAATATTTAGTTACTAAATATTGACTACCTACGCAACTTATTTAAGTTTTTTTATTTTTAATACATTTATGAAGTTGTGACAATTCTGTTTTTGCTTTGTCAATATGGTGTATGGATTGTAGATTAATGTGAAAAAAAGTAATTTAAAGCAGTTTAACGAGGCAACAACAACAAAACATGAAAAAAATGGAAGGCACTGTATGGTGGCCAAAATTATTAGAATACTAGTATTTTCCTACTAAAAATGGTTTTAAGTCAGTTATTTCTATCTTTTGCTGTAGTGTGTCAGTAGGAAATGTCAGTTTACATTTCCAAACATTCATTTTGCCATTAATTGTAATAATCCAGTGAGATTTTTGTTTGCACAAGGAGTCTGACAACAGCCAGTGCTCCACACAGAGATCTAATCTATATGTTCTTTAATAAATATTTAATCTGTGGATTTTTTTTAATTTATGCTCCAGCACTGCTTCTGAACCTAAGCCAGTGTAGAAAATGGATGGATGGATATTTTTCAACACTTTTGTGGTACTACTGTTTTGTTGTAAAGCAAGCACCCAAGAATCTCACTCAACAGTACATTTGTATATACACTAGTAATGTAATTTATAGGAACAAAGTCATGTGATTTGATTAAACAGATGGGATTGTCAGTCATACAGTTAACCTGTTTTTGACACATCACATGAGTCATATGCATATGGGTTCTCTCTATATAAAAGCTTGTTCATAAGCATTGACTTGGTTCATTAACACATTTACAGATCATAACTTTATCCAAAAGGAATTTTCCCTCGTGTTTGAACTATTATTAAAAATGGATTTAGTAATTTGATTTGCGAATGGGAAACATGGAGTTTATTGCACTTTAAATTATAGGTATGCCATGGGTATCCACGCTGTGGCCCCTGTCAAAGCAAGCATGCAACTCAGCGTTTTGCATTGACAGCTGTACCAAAGCAATCCTTTGAATATGTGCAGCTACAGAACAGTCTACTCTTCAAACAAAA